TGAAGATATGGATTTTATTGATGATAACATCTTAGCCCTTAACTTAAAATAGTGATGATGGAGGTAATGATTACATACGTCATGAAAGAATACCAAAATGTGTATGATATCAGAGATATTTTCAGAATAGATCCTTCTTCGAGGAGAAATTTATCAAGTCGAACATCATGTGAAAGTGAATCCTTTAATTATATTGATAAAGCATTTCAATGCTAAAAAGAAAATGTGCTCTATTATCTTACCCAATGACCCAGATCAATTAATGTTTAATATAGGAAGACAAACTGTAAAACGTAGCAAATAAACTAAATATATCATATCCAGTAACAAATTCAAAATAATAATAATAATGACTGAAGTACAATCAAAATGTCCACTGTATTCTATCCAATAAACGGTGTTGTTAACTCCATTATGTACTTCACTACAAAATAATGAAGTTTTCAATTTGTGTAAAATTGATATCATTGTTTAGCTTGACACAATATTTTGCAAACTCATTCCGAATGAGGCTGTTTACAACTACAATACTAGTTACAAAGGCCTGCGATGGTATTATTGGCTTGAACTTTTTACATGTTCTGCAGTAATTCCTGTATGCTGAATCTGAAAATAATATTCATTTTTTTCCCAGCACGTACAGATTTTTCACAAAACGTCATAACGAGATGCATAAAAGAAAGACCACAACACGTAGTTTTGAGATTAAAAGACATAGATTTCACACAAAAATCAGGATGAATGAGGATGCATATTCGTTTGACATCAATGTTCTTCTCTTTTCTTCAGATTGTTTGTATGTTTGTTAATAAACATAATAATAATAATAATAAATGTTCATTGTGGTAAACGAAATAATAATTTGATCTAAGTAAACTATGGAAAATCCGTTATTAAAATCAAACCAAATTTTATGAAGTTTAAATTTGTTATCTAACATTCCCAGTATATAGCTATTATTATTTGATATATCTATCTTTATGTAGCCACATTTCCATCTATACTTAATATTTTGCTCTAAAAAAAAAAAAAAGAAAGCTGTGAAATCTTTATCATTGGTACTTTCGTTTAGTATCATTTCTGTACTCGATTTTCTAATGATCCTACCTCTTGTACAAAATCTTACTCAATTTGCCCAACGACAGGTGTTAAAATTTATAATTTCAGCGAGACAAAAACGTAATACGAGATTGTTTATGTTTGTTTGTTTTGAATTTCGCGCAAAGCTACACGAGGGCTATCTGCGCTAGCCGTCCCTAATTTAGCAGTGTAAGACTAGAGGGAAGGCAGCTAGTCATCACCACCCACCGCCAACTCTTGGGCTACTCTTTTACCAACGAATAGTGAGATTGTTTATGAGGGCTGTGATTCCCCGAAACCAATCAAACATGGTGGCGAATGTAGCAATAGGCAGGCCTTCACGTCTTTTGGTTCTGAAATTTGCCAAGTTAATATTGAGAGACAAAAATGCTTTATTGCATACAGCTGTTTGCTGAAGAGTTCAGAACAGTGTAAAGAAGTAGTATTAATTAATGTTGCATATCCTTCAAATACGTATATAAATATTGGTTACTTATCGTTGGTAAAAGATATCTCAAATCTATAAAGAGATAGGCGTTAGTTGTGCAAAAGGTCTCGCTTTAACTCTTTCGGCAAAGATTCTGCTGCTACGTTGCTAAAGGCCAGCTGAATATTTCAATGTTATTCTGATTCTATGAAGTATCTTTGTCATTTAAAAAAAAAAGAAGATATATTTACTTATGGTTAATAAATTGGAGCTAAAATAACCCACTAAACATTAGAAATGTGTACAAAAAGTATCCAAAAGTTATAACACAACAAATTTGTCAGAATGTTACAACTAACATATTTCGAACATTTTTCTCTATGAAATAATTTCTAAATTGTTATATTAGATGGTTCGTTTCATCCTTTTTTTTTGTCATTTTTTTAAAATTACAATGAAGAGTGAGCATAATAACTCTGTGCAAAAATAACTGTGTTTTTGTTTGAATATAACTTACGAACGGATGAGGTGCTGTTAATAGAATATAATACTTTTTCTTTCCCGCAGAGAAACACGTAAAATAATAAAAGAAAAAGGTGTAACAGACTGTAAATAAGGTCAAAGACGGGTACAGCTGCACTGGGAGTTTCAATGCTAGACAGACGAGCCTACCCACATACGTTCTTGTTCTCTTCGTCATGAATTTGTAGGGTCATCCCACACTCCACGTAGATTCTTCTGGGCCACAAGCTTTGCCTAAATCAGAATTATCAACCTGTACGGTAACTCATGCGCATTTGGACTAGACTATCAGGTCAGAGAACCCCTAAGGTTAAAGTATATCTTTCCCTGATTTTGAACTAGTGACCAAAAGGAAGCACCACTCGCGGCTAGAAGGACTTGGTCGGGTTCTATGAAACAAATGACGGAACGACTGTCACTTTTGTAATTCGTCCACGTTTGAAAGAATAAAGCGTGACTAAGGACATCATGTCTCAAACCATAGACTTAACAAGCTAATTACGAGGCCACGACAGCCCTTGTCTAATGAAGAAGGCAGACATCTATAAATGTACCTATAAAATTAAAAGTTAACCGAGAAGATAAAAGATGTTTTTGACTTCAAAACTTCGTGTGTGTGTAAAAGAAAAATCCAAATAAGCAAACGTATGCAGCCTTATACTTTATAAACCATTCTATAATAAAAATGTTTTCTAAAATTTGAATGGTAGGCAAGTTTCTGGTGAAGAAAGGCTGCGACTGTGAGAGCAGCATGAAAAAGACTTCCAACAAAGATATAGGAAGCCGAAATTCACAAATAAAATATAACATAAAACCCTTTAACTTCAGAGTTTCGGATCAGCTATAACCTAGTCAATTACACAATGTTGACAATAGACTCCGTCAACAAGTAAATTGGGCTTCACAAGTCAAACACAACGAAGGCGGACTACACTTACACAAATTCAAAGAAAAAAGGTAAACATGACCGTTCAAGGTTAAAAGTCCAGCAGGACTAGCTTATCTATTACCTTTACAAACACAATCACCCTTTCGTACTGTACCAACCAGTTAGAGACCAATTAAAGACGATAATAGCTTTGTATTACTAGGTGATTGTAAAAATGTCACTTTTCTGGTCATTATTGCCTTACAGACAAATAAAAAAGGGGGAAAGAAAGAAAGATATCACATTTTCAGGCATTAATTTGAAAAAATGGCACCAGTTGTAACGGTTACAAAAATATTGCAAAGAGAAAAGAAAAGAAAAATAGTACGTAAATATCATAAACTACTATTTGTCCTTCATGTCAATTTTGGTGAAGATCCATCTACAGGGGACTAAATAGTGGTAAAAAAAAACGCCCATGAAAATCGCAAAACGTGAAACCGCAAATTTGCATGTACCCCCATATAGGCCCAATGAACCTCCATAACAGTTTTGGTGAAGATCCATCTACACCCTGCGAAGTAGTCACATGGATATACAACAGACACATACTATTATATTTATATAGATTCAAATTCAACAACAACGGTTACAAAAATATTGCAAAGAGAAAAGAAAAAAAAAATAGTACGTAAATATCATAAACTACTATTTGACTGTTGTTGTTGTTGTTTTAAAAGGAGAAAAAAAAATGACATTTTTTCCCACTTTGCATTTGAACTGGTGCCATTTTCACCTGTACATTTACACTGGGGCCATTATTTCTACGAAAAGGGGCCAAAGGCCGCCTGGAGAAGTCACCTATTTAAACTTCTCCCACCACTATACAGTAGTGTGTTGTCTGTCAGTTAGTCAGTAGACACTAAAATGACTTCACATAAGATACGCTTAGCTTTGCAATTTGTACTGTCGTAACGTTAGTAAAACGTACGTATGCCATGAATCACGAGAAGAATTATGCAGTCTGTAGGCTATAACACAGCATGACATATGAACTTCAAAAGCAAAAAATATAAATATTTTTACACTTAATTTTAGTTTTATCTACTCTCGAAACAGAACACTTTCAGGGACCCTGCGGAAGTACATCTAGTTTAATAGCCGGTGCCCTTCCTTTTTTCTATGTATTTGTCCGCTACAGATATGACTAGAAAGTTTTTCTCAGCTCCACGTAAACATTCGGGCAAACTTTAAAACGTTGCAACAATAATCAACATTCTTTTCCAGTTGAATATATCTTTACAGATACATAAAATATAAAGAGCTGAAAAATAATTATGCTCTAGTGCCTATGCGAACTAGTTTTATTTACTCTCGAAATAGAACACTTTCAGGGACCCTGCGGAAGTACATCTAGTTTAATAGCCGGTGCCCTTCCTTTTTTTATGTATTTGTCCGCTACAGATATGATTAGAAAGTTTTTCTCAGCTCCACGTAAACATTCGGGCAAACTTTAAAACGTTGCAACAATAATCAACATTCTTTTCCAGTTGAATATATCTTTACAGATACATAAAATATAAAGAGCTGAAAAATAATTATGCTCTAGGGCCTATGCGAACTATTTCCCGTACACCGAAACTCCCCTCACTAAGAAATACACATTTACACACCTTTCATTTATCTACCTGCATACTTCTCTAACCCCGTCATTTAACGTACGTAGCATGAACCATGACCACGACGCTTTGGTGTATTTACTGGGCTCTTCCTGTGGGTAAAGAATCGTAACCTTGGGCTTCAGAACCTGTGGAGCCAGTTCATTTGTTGGCTGTTCTACCAAATCACTGCGAGAAACTCTAAGACTTCATTCGAGGCTGGCGTAGTTACCGATCGTACTCCGACGGTCCTACCTCTCCACATTCCAACACCTGTAGCGTCTTCAAAACTTAAGTAGGTGCGTGTAAGACTGGCTTCGAAAAACCAGTAGTAGGTTAATAAGTTCATACTGTGAATAAGACTTAGTTTATTATAATTCATCAGGGATCTTAACTTTTTTTTTTAACTCATGGTGAAGCGAAAGTGAGAAAGATCTGTCTGGGTCAATAACTGTCAATCTGTGGCGAGACGAGTAATCTTTGACAAAGGAATATGGCTGCCCTGTATAAGAAGTGTTTACGTACCATCGTGGTGTTTTTCTCTGTTCTGTTTGGAACTTTGGCACAACAGGTAACCAATGATACAATATTTCTATCTCAATTTGAAACTGAACACCGTTAAGTGTTAGCCGAAACGCTATTTTGCAATAGCAATAATAAAGATAAAGCTTTACAGAATAATTTTTTTACCGTTTTACTTTTAGTCTTACTGTGTCGACTGTAAACTTGTTAAATTCATTCGTTCGGATAATAGGATTTATTAATTTGATAATGATATTAAACATATTAAACTATTTCATGACCTCTTATCAGCTCTAGATTGTAAATGATCTAATCGTTAATTGTAAAACTAAACCTTAAAATTTAGCCAAAAATTGTTTTCTCACTCAAAGTAAAACTGAAATAATTGTTTCAGTGATGTTGTTTATTAAAAACGGAAATTAATTAAATTCCCTGATAAAGTTAAGGTAAATTATGTGAAGAATATAAGAGTTGGAACAGTTTCGTGTGTTTCTAAGGGGATGTCCCTTTATTTAAAACAAGAATGCAAGTCGGTTAGATTTTTCGATATACCTTTCGTTCTACCTTCACTGAAAAGTGGTTCAATGTTTCTTAGCAGACTTTATTAGCTGCATTTTTTGGAAGTTTAGTAATTTATTCGATAGGATATGCAGATAGCCAGTGTATGTTGTACAAAACAATATGTGGAATTGTGTATATTTGGTTATGAAACCGAATTTTCTCATTTGTTTCTGTAATTATATTAATAACTTTGTACTTGTTCATACATTGTTTGTTTGTAATTAAGCACGAAGCTACACCATGGGCTATCTGTGCTCTGCCCACCACGGGTATCGAAACTCGGATTCTAGCGTTTTAAGTCCGCAGACATGCCGCTGTGCCACTGGGGGCTTTTCATACGTACACAGATAACAGCATCTGTAATTTGTAAAACAAAATTGGGATATTTCAGTTCACAAAATCAATTGGAATTAATGACGTAAAATGATGAAACTACGGTAAACTTAGTTTTATAAAATGGGATGTCGGATCTGTTCAAGTTTTATATTAAATTTGTGAGTGTTGTGAGTACACATTATTGAAACCCAATTATATCCGCCATTGTTACATATGCGGTGAAATATTTTCTCACCGAAATGTTTTGTTACGTATTCTTATTTTTGAATCGTGGAAATGATTTCGTTATTTTCTACCGGAACTTATCTCTTGTATTGGTCAACAAAACAATACGAGTTCCGAGACCTATTCGATATTAAAATGGCAGACATTTTCGATAGGTCAGACGTGTCCTCGGGCAAATACCTTTCTACATTATCTGTCACTGGCGGGAAGACCCTCAAGATACAGATATGTAGGGAAAAAGGTCAAACCACTACCGCATTCTTCCAAGCCTTTATACAGCAAAAGTTTAGGAAGGAGCGGACCGCCTACATACTAAATTAATCGTCTGTGTCAATGGATTATCCTTGTACTTTTGTACTCCTGTAATTTATATTTAGCAGCTTATCTTATATTTACATATTATTTTATTTAAACGTTTTTTTTTACGTAAACAAAAACGAAATTACATAAGGGATATATCATATATTGTGTGATTGACATACGGAAAATTATATCGTGTGCCATTTTGTTTGATTAGTTGGAGGTTAAATTACATAAAACGCTTGTTTTTTGTTGTGTTCCTCAATTCTTGATTGTTTGGAAATAAAGCCTTGCATGAGCTCACAATTTTTATGTATTTATTGCAAAAGAAATGTATGGTATAACTTGTAAAATACGATCCAAATTTTTTTTGGTTTATTTCATTCTTATATTACTAAATGCATATCATATTATCAATACTTATCAGTTTTTTTTTTGCAGGACAACTTCCTCCAGTGCCCGAAAGGTAGGTTCTTATTTAGCTCGCCTATAACGGCAGAACCTTACCATTATTAACAACTGTTTTAATTATTTAACTTTACGTAGACAACAAAATGAATAAAAAAAATCAACTTTCTAACAACACGAGATCGTGCTTATTCCCCATAATTACTTGTTAGAACTAACAATATTATTAATGGCTGAAAAAAATTATATACAGACTTTACAACGGGTTTGCTTCAATAGCTACCTCCAAATAATAATAATAAATTGGTATTGTATTTTAATCTAGGTTTCCTCAATTACAACCATTCATCACGTGGGGTTCTATTAAATATTGTGAAACGGTTCGAATTCGATGAAAATTAAATGTGTTTATGTTCATTACATTATCGACACACACACTCACTGTAATATTTTTTTTTAGTTTTATAAGTATATTATTTTAAACCAATTATGCAAATTATCTTGTTATTAGAAGAACTGAACTAGAGACGTGACACCTGGTGGAATTACAGTAGTCCATACTTTACCATACGTTTGTATGGAAATCGTGTCCAGAGTTGCAAGTCTCTCATTCAAGGAAAGTCAAATTATGAGCCTGTTTTCAGCTTGCGGATGAAAAAGTTAACTTGCCTCTTCGGACGGCTGGGCAGAACTTCTTATAAAGCTTTTTTTTTTCAAAACTTTATCTAAATTGTCATATCTAAGCATTTTACAACTAAAATCATTTATTACAGAACGCTTTTTATCAAATTGAAACTGTCTTGAAACTCGTTTCACAATCATAAGTAAGAGCTGAGAAGGTCAGTAATAATATACCGAAAAAAATGACTACCGTTTTCCATATTAGTTAAGACTCGGTTATTAACTTTAACCAACATATACGAAAACGAATATTATAAACTTAATTGGACTGCATAATATTAAGGAGTTTGTATAACTTATTTTCTTTATCGGGTTTTTAATCAATGTTTTGATACTTAAAATAGCTTGTTTTCTTCCACATCGGTATTTTTTGTTGTTGTTAACCCTCGAGTTATACAAAGATTTAAAACACCACTAATAACATGCATTGTTTAAATGTTTTAAGCAACTAATATTTATTTGATATGTTGTCGTTATATATCATTAAAAAGTGCTTCTGTTAATGTTATTTTTAAACAGAAATCACTGAAAAAGTAAACACTTTGTTTATTCTGTTTTTCAACATCTGGGTCAATAATATCTACTTAATATTTCCAACATCTATATTTCTGCTTATCTCCGGTTGGCTAGACGTTGTTAAGAACAGTCAGACTTTCCCAATGTGTTGGCCATATGCAGACAATAGTGCTGACCATTTGTGACCGTCTGAGGGCAAGATTTAGCACGGTTTACAGGAGGGCACATCCTGTTTCCGTAGGGCCTATAATTACTTACAGTTAACTTTTACCAACATTTTGAAAAATTACCTGAATGTATCAGAATAAAGATACATTAATTTATTTTTTTTAATTTATGAAAGGGCTACAGCCATAATAATTGCATATTACAGTAGGATCTATAACGTCATATATTTCGGGATCACTTACGTCATCCGTTTTAGCACGTGCAACGCAGAAACGATTATTCTCGAATCTGTCTCTTTCGTCACACCCTATACTTTGGGTTGGTTTTATCAATCCTAACGATCTTATTTTTAAATATTTTGTTCACTTTTCACTGAAATATTTATTTCGCATACAAAGGGACATTCAGTTGTACACGTAGAAGAAAAAAAGGGGGAAATTTTAAATTTGTTTTGTCGAAATGTTACTTTTTATCACATGCATATTAGTTTTGTTTAAATATTTTGTCGCGTATGTGAAATTTGTATAACATCGTAGTAGGCTTACGCGGTTATTTTGAAATGCATAGTTTTACATACTTAGTAACTTTTTCGAGATGTTATTATGTACATAACTCTTGTGAATGATAATTTATATACACATTAGTATATAAAGTTTTGGTTATCATCCCTTACGTTTATTCCCCAGTATTTTCATGTAACATGTATGATATCGTTGATATTAAAATAGCTACAATACGTTAGAATACATATAACACTAATAACTCTCAAGTGAAACTGCATTAATTCGTCGGACTTGTAAAAGGCTCTAATGTCATGGTTTGTTTATGATGTTGTGCTAGTTAAAACTCTATATTTAACTCACCTAATCCTTACAAAAGTCTACTATAGTTATAAATAAAAGAGAGAGAGAGTAGTCTTTAAATAATTTATCCTGAGTAGAATATTTTAGGAGCTAAATATATAAATACATTTTAAAATACTTAGAAATTAAATTCGCCAATTGTTGCTTTCAAAATGTGATTTTGTTTTCAAGAAAATTCTAACAATGAATTTTACATTTGCTGCAATACTTATCGCTTCCACATGTCATCAGATTAGAACAATCAGTTTTCAAGACTGAAGCTTTAACCTAATTTTTCGATTCAGTGGGTGAAGTAATTAGACCCGGAACAGTCTCTTCAGGTAAACCCATCAAAATTGTAAGCACAACAGTTGGTCGAACACTGACACTTACTAAATTAAAACTTTAAAAATCTGTTCTGTATCAGCGACCATATGGGAAAACTTAAGACTTTATTTCCATATAGGTACAATATTGTTGTAAACAACTCGGTGTACAAAAGATATTATAGGAATAATATTGTTGTAAACAACTCGGTGTACAAAAGATATTATAGGAATAATATTGTTGTAAACAACTCGGTGTACAAAAGATATTATAGGAATAATATTGTTGTAAACAACTCGGTGTACAAAAGATATTATAGGAATAATATTGTTGTAAACAACTCGGTGTACAAAAGATATTATAGGAATATAATTGTTGCAAACAACTCGGTGTACAAAAGATATTATAGGAATAATATTGTTGCAAACAACTCGGTGTGTAAAAAAGCCGTATTTCAGTTTTCTCTCCATGACTTACTTAATTTTTCCACACCTAAAATTTTATTCTTTTTTCTTGCAGAATATCCTGTTATATATTTTTTCTTTATAAATCTAGGATAGGTCTTTAGGAAACCTAGGGTAGATCTCTTATGAGAGACACGACTTGATAATTGCATGCCGTATAATATTATAAGACTTTTACCGTTTTTTTGTGTACTTGATATTAGAGGTAATAAAGACGTAGTAAAGAATCTGTATTTATAACAAAGCTACTAAGGCTACCTGCCGCCTACCTTAATTTTTAACTACTGACTAGAGAGAAGACAGCCAATCAGCAGCACCCTACCACCCACCGTTAACACTAAGGGATTGACTAACGCACAAATAACTTTCCCGCAGCTTAAAGCGATGAGAATGATTCGTGTTGTCACACGGATTTGAATCCGGCTCGCCAGATCCTGAATACAAAATTTACCACATCCGCGCCCCTTTACTTCTCACATTTTCACGATTAGAATATTTAAATTGTGTACATACAGGGTGCGATAAAAGTTACTATAGAAATAGTACTAAAAATATATTACGAAGACAACCGGAAACAATTTAATAGTTGTTTGTTTCAGAGTAAGTCGTTAAAATTAAACTCTGTTCTAAATGAAAGAACTGTATAGTCGATCTTACCCCACCCTGTATAGACGTATATATAACACTGTGCTACCAAGAAACCTAAAAAAAAACTTCACTTCGACACACATTTTGAATAATTCTTTTAGAATGGTAGTGATAATCGGTTTTCTTATTACCGTGATATCAGATTTTTTTTAAAAAAATCATTGTTCGACAAATTAATTTTGTTGCTTTACGTTAATTATTTTCTCTGAAGTAAGTATTTCATGTTGATAACATCTCGATATTTTTCTGCCCTTAGCTCTGGCTAGAAATGTTTCCTTTCTCTGTCTTCATTCCTTCACGCTGCTGTCAACTGCGCTCGGAAAGAGCACAAGTCTCGCCAGTTTTCTTTGCTGGGTTGAATGACCGCGCCCATCTCGTATGCTGCGAGCTAATGTGATGATGTGCCTCGCACGCGTTGACACCCAGAACGAAAGGTCATAGTTACGGAATTTTTTTCATTCTTCACCTTCTGCATAAAATATTATAGCATGTTAACTGCTATTTTACGCAAGCTCCGGTGTGTATAAATAAATTATTAATATTTATGCCAACTATTAAATTCGGAATAAAATATATGAGAGCATCTAGGGAAACCCCCGCGATCAAATCTTACACGGGTCTGTTCATTTTCCAATATTACATACTTCATCCACTCTCACGTTTACAAGTCCCGCGCTACAGAAGAATGACATGATGAAATAACCACGCTGTAAAGATGGGATATCTTATCACAGACCGGTTTTGCATGTACTTCAGTGGAAATCATTCTTTCAAGGCCGTAGGTTTATACCAACTGCACCGTCATGTTCAAGACAGTATTTCCATCCTATTCTATAAGCGACACTGACACTAAAAAACAAATGATGGTTTATTATTTGTATGACAAAATAAAGAGTTTAACGTCACACGTATCCATAGTTACAGAACATGTACTACGAGTGAAACAAACAGCTTTTGATGCCCTGTGTATATTCTTTAAATGGGCATTTCTTTTGACACTTTGCGTGAAGATTATACTTCAGTTAGAGTAAATATTCGAGTGACTTAATACTTCTTTTTTTTTTTTATGTGTCAAAGAAAAATCTAAGCCTTGTTCTTGACTGGACAGGTCTTATGTGAACTGTAGAACAACACATTATCAGTGTTGCTAATGTAAAGTAACACCCCGCTCACTCAACCAAGGTTAGTCATCTTTTTGCTGACCGTGTTGATATTAAAATAGCTTTAATACGTGATAATTCATATAAAACATTAATATCTCTCAAGTGAAATACTGCATTAATTCGTCTAACGTTATGTTGGTGAAACGTTTTGTTACATAAATTGAGACAAGAACATGGATGTTGGTTGCAAAACGTGAGTACAGATTGAGTAATTACACGTGCTTACTTCTCTTGCATCCTTAAACTGTGCTTATGCGTTTATAGAACCCCGATCATTATTTTTAGTATTTATTGATAGACCAGAACTTCAGTCTCTTTAGCTTTAAAATGTAACAATTATAATACGTTAGTCGTGTACAAAACTAATAAACAATTCCTAAAAATATTTTGGGCAAATTAGTTTTCAGTATTTTTTTTCCCCCTCATTGTTAGGTTTTTACTTAACTGTATCATAGATTGGTTACAAAAACAAGCGGTAGTATTATTTTAATCACTGTTACCATTTGGAAAACAGTATATAATGATCTATATGTTGTACTGGTGCGTTTCTTTTATCATGTTATTGCTAAAGAAATATTCATTTAAAACACCCTCTATTTTTCATGTCCACTCGGTTCAATATCTGACAATACAAATTGCATCAAAAACTTCTGAAATAGGGTAAAGAAGAGGCAAAAATTTTAATCGAGCTTTTCTCACTCCAGTAACTAAGGGAGAAGTTCGTGATTTTGAGCAAAATAATTTTTTAACAGTATTTAAGGAAGTTTGTTCCTTTGCTCTAAATCGTCTTCTGGTGGAACAGCGGAAAGTCTGCGGATATACATTGATAAAATCCAGAGTTCGATTCCCGGGGTTGAAACGGCAGATAGCCCAATGTGGCTTTGCTCTAAAACAAAATCCTTCCACTAGTAACTTATCTAGCGACGTTTTAAAAAATAAATACAATTCACCTGAATCGCTTACTTAATTTTCTTTATATAATATTTTCTCATGTAAAAACGTTCAGATGTCAAAATAGTTTGTTGAGATTTATCAAAATGATTTCAACAGATAAAAATTGTAAGTTTAATTTTTTATACAAACCTGATTATTACATGAAACGGTTAAAAGCCATACGCTTCGACACTACCTAGCGTCCTCCATTGTGGAAGACACTAGATAACTTCGAAAGAGATGGCAAGTTTCCGGCAGTTGTAACTCGTGGTTTTTGTCCAATATTTATTGGATTTGCAGTCGAAAATATTAATGATGAAGCAATGCATTCTAATCATTATGTGATGACCAGGCTGAGTCTCCATTTTGCTCTAATTACGTGCATAACTTAATGTGATCGGAAGTTATTATCATTGAAATAAAAGATAATACACATTTAATTATTGAAGCAAAACTAATTTTTTTTCCTTGACACAGGTATCCAAAAGTTTTGAAATTTTGCAACTTAGAATAAAGCATTGTTTCATGAAAAATATGGTGCGAAATCCGAACCTCGGTTAAAATGTGAAGTTCGAGATAACGTGCTATTTAATATTACACCCACGTGGAAAAGGAATATAATATGTAAGGCTGATCTTATGTGCTTGTCGGTATTTGGACACCGTGTAAATTTTCACTCTTGCTACGACCATGGTGCGAAATAATGATTGAACTCTTCCATTATTGATCAATACCAGACTTTTGACTTGGTAGTCTAATTTACCAGAAAATGTGTTGTTCGAAAATATGCCCGTAGGGGTGAACGTCTCAAATAAAAAATGGTATGTTCTGTTTATACAAGAACGCAACAAAGCATGAAAATTGTTCATAAGTGTGTTCCGTACGAACGAACCATAAAACAGAAGTGAAGGTAGTGAGAAAGGTCCATTGGCTTGTGGAATAGTTTAACTCAGGCAAGTAATTTCAAAATTGTGCGGAATTCTTTTATATACTCAACATATTTGTTGTAGTTACTGAAGTGAAGCATTATGTTTCCAGTAAAATGAAACAGAACAGACAAATGAAATACCCTGAGATTTCCCGAACACGCTTACTTTTATGAGTTCGATAATTAAATAAAATGCACAATTTCTTTATCTCTGTGTTCTGAAGTTATAGCTAAGCCTCGTCGACAGATTGTAACTCTTCATAAAGGTGCAGAACCGAAACGTCAGAATATAAATACAATGAATATTTTATATACCTAGAGATAATGGTTGTCCTATTTATAGAATGTCTCCAATCTATGCTACGTACTCTAAAAATAGAAAATATTTATTAGATATCATTTACTCTAGGACTGTTAAATACGTCTAAAAACAACAGATACATATATGGTTGCATAATTAATAAGATTTTATCAGTTTCAGTTTAGTTAAACAGATTCCTAAAATATCACACAATGATACAACGTTACATATAATATAAAATTCAACGTGGAAGAGGATATCCCTCTAATTAGAACATTTTAGGGATACGGATATCTTTTAAAGTTGATCAGACAACAACAACAACAAGTTACAAAAATATCAGTAGCTAGTGTGCCCTTCACAAACACCGACTACTGCATGTTTCTGATGAGCTTCTGGAAGTTGATCTGTAGCAGGTGGTTCCATTTCTACAGGGTTCCACCCAGCTCGTGATGATTCCGAACAGGGCGAGTCTACTGCTTCCCATAACCCTCATAAGATTGGAAAAATAGATATTTGGTAGTTGTGAATCTGAAGTCTCTAGCTTTGTGTAGTTTAATTGTTGTTAAGCCCCAGCTATACAATAGACATTCTCTGCTCTTCCCACTACTGGCATCGAAACTTGATTTTTAGCGTCGTAAGCCTGCAGACTTACCGCTGAGCCACTGGAGGCACAATCTGAGTAGTATCTTAGATATTTATTTGGAGGTTAAGGAAAGCTGGGTTTTTAAATGTAACCCTCTACCCACGTGTGTTTGCAGATGTATAAGGAAATGTATAGTTTATAACATAATTTATAAAAGGCAGTAACCCACTTGTGTTATCTACTTCATATTTTCAACTATTTTTCAATTCCACTTTTAAGAATATTTTATATTTTTGTGTATTGAAAATATCTGTGTTGGTTGATACTTTACTAAGAACTGTAATTACGACTTAGTTTTAGGCTTAGTTCCCAGTGAAGGAGCAAAACTAGATCTACTTTCAAATCAATTACTTTCGCTTACCCTGTAGCTATTCTCTTTTTTCGTATCTTATAATATAGTAAGTGTATGTTACCTTTGTATGGATAGAAGACTTAAATTCATTGTACTTTTTTTTTCAGATTGGAGTCGATATGGAATTCACTGTTATCGTTTTTTCAATATAAGACATTCGTGGAACACAGCTGCGGAAGTCTGCCGCCGGTAAGCCTACTTTTTATTTTTAATATTGCATTCACAGGAAAATACTTAAGTTTCGTAGTTTTATTAAATTTCATCCCAGAGGAATGTTAGGTTATGTTAGCTCGTTATTAGCGAGAAAACCCAACTAAGACTACAATTGAGTGATGAGCGATACGACTTTAGTTAAGATCATCCTGATCGAGTATTCCTTCAGCTTGTATTATCAAAGATCTGTATATGTTTAGCCTATAAACACAAATATTAATTTTCAAAGTTTTCTTGTTTAAGAAAAAAAGAAAGCCAAAGCAGGATAAAGAACAAAGACTAAATTATTTAAATTTTTGCGACTGGTAACTGTAAACTTGTCATTTGCTGAAAGTGTAGAGGGGATATTCGTAGGGTTGTTCGTATATTTTTTCATCACTAGATGGTTGCAATTCATAAAAATCGACTTTAATAAACACGTTTTTTTTTCATTAAATAATTCTACAACAAATCGCTAAGTTTTAAAAACAATGTTTTGAGTAAACTTTATCCTCACTTAGTATTTATCGAAAACCTATAGGTTAAATCTCGTCCGTGGAGTATTTGAAAACATTTTCATTCGATTGTGCCACAACATACCGGAGTTAATTAAGCACCGGCCCTTCGCGCCTTTAAAACAAGGAAACTAATAAACTTAGCTATGACAAAACCCTGCTTATAAGAATCGGCAGGTTGCTTTGAACGTCATATCACCGAACTTAATTTGTCTAAGATTGAACTGTGACTTAAAGGCTGAAAAAATTGGTGGAGAACAAACGCAATATATACGGTTTAATCGTAGTACACAAAAGTCTCATATTTACGAATTAGTGTATTAATTAATGTTAATAAAAGTAGTATCAGATGTAAAAAATACAAATGGTAACTTGTTTTATACAAAAGTAAAGAATAATTGAGGTAGTAGCACCTGAACGTTATCATTAAATGATATTGGGTATTATGGTTCAGTTGTGATATATCGAACTATAATACTGGAGGGTACTGACTATCCTTGATACTTTTTATCAGTATTTCAACAACATCAGGATTATCATCTAATAAGGTTTTTAAAGGGTAACCATGGTTCATGCCCACATCAGACCTGAGTTTCACCACCAAAAGGGGAAAAAGTGTTACTGATTGATTATCTGTTGTTTTCATACTGGTTTTCACATGCGGTTTGCTATATAACTGGAGGGGAGAGGTATCCCCAACGCTGTTCAAACGCTACTACAACGGTTATTATATATATATTACACACGCGCGCGCGCACGCACACACACACACACATCTAATATAGTTGTTATTAATCTTTATCTTAGTTAATATGCGAGTTTTTTTTACAAATGATCTCGTTACTGCTTCATACCGCTGATTTAACTCTTAATTCCTCCTATCAGTGGATACTTCCCGTATTGATAGTGGATGATATTTGGTCTGTAGTCATCTACAAAGTTAATCAAGATCAGTGAGGCTTGCACGTAAATAACGTTAGTTTCTTAATAATTATAGTTTTTAGAAAGACGATAGTGGCCTTAATTATCATCTCTTTCTGATATCAACCGTAAGAATACTAGCAAAAACACAGAAATAAAAAGCTGTTGACCCCAACTACAAAATAACAGTACACTTATCTACGGATAAGGGTATAACAAGTGTATGATGTTCATTTGCTTTTTCCTGTATAATTTATTTTTTTACACTAAGTATTTACTGTTCGACTCTGCTGTTATATCATCTTTTTAAGTTAGACCATGAAACAAAAAAATGTTTTGAATGATTTGTTCAATCATCAGTGGCACAGATATGGCGATAAAAGTCGGTTTTGTGGCACAGTTAGTATTGGATACCTTAAAGCGTAATCAGGTCAGCATCCTTTAAGTTACCATGATCTGTATACTCCTTGATACGAATTATATGTTAGTCAGGATATGGGAGGATGGGGGGAGGAGCTAGACTCAATTTGATGGTTTCTGTTCCCACACACAATGCCTAAATTTACACGTTATGCTTGACTTAATCCAACGCTTCCTGTGACATGACACTCATAATTTTGCACTTCACTTTTGATATCTTAATTAAATTAAGTTATCCATTTCGTTAAAATATGAAAAGTGAAGTGCAATAGTACGAACTAGTGCATAAAACTATCACCAGGAGTTGGTTTTGTTTTCTTCGGAAACGAATATTGCTAAGTAACTTTGAGACAGAATGAGCAAGAAAAGAGAAACTTAATAAGAATGTGAACTACAAGACGGCTTGCAGTATTTATTGATATAATAACTAATGGTTTCTTTGACAGCGAAACTGTTGACCCAGCTACCCGATTTGTGTTAGTTTTGTATATAAAGGTGAGTCATACTAACTCACCATTACTATGGTATTGTTTAAAACTGCCATTTCGAGCTGTATCAGTTCAAGTGGTTAGAAAAACGTAACACACTACCTACAGGAGGTAAGCGTGATTTTAGTTGAGGAAACTGATCTGACATAACATTTGTTACCCGAAAATGCAGTTTTCAGCTGGCCTCAGTTATGGGATTTGTTGAACCATGTGATTTGGAATTTTATGAAAGAATTACGAAATATTTCCGTCCCACGAAACAAGCCATTTGAAGTGGATTTATGTGAAGATGATACGGGACTGAGCACATTTCTTAAAACGCAAAATAAGCCACTATAATTCATTTTCTGCAGAATTTGATGGCTTTTTTTTGTTCACTGAACTGTGTACTGCCACTTAAATCGTATAACAGATGACGTTTTTCAGTTTCACTGATGAAATTTCTTTTCTATGTTCATAACAAGGATAACTTGTTAAATCGAGTCGTTCAAGAACCCGCTTTTCACCAAGCTGTAGCGTTAAGGTTATTGGTTGGATTAGAATATCATCACGATTAATCGAAATTATGGGGTTTTACACCCTTCAAAGAATACGATTTGTATAGGATCAGGTTTACTTGCACAAGTAGCAACAGCTGCGTTAAAAGTACTAATCTGGAAACTTCAGTTATTAATGTGTATTCTATATCGAGAGAAATGATCCACAGGACTAGTATAAATACAATTGGCTTCAAAAGAGCTTTCGTTTAACAATCAGCCATTAATACTTATCTGGAAACTCCTGCTTTGAATGAGACTTCCCCCCCCCTCTCTCTTGTAACTTCTGAATGGCGAGAATTTGCTGAAACTGTTAAATACTTCAACAAAATATACAGTTTTAAATAATAGTTGCATTATTTAATTAGTTTTTAATTCATGCGTCCATTTATGGTTTCTCATTACAAAAGAGACCTGGCTAGGTCGATAACAGAGAAAAATCACCTAAGATAAATCGTTAAATAAATATTTTATTCAAGTATTGTAGTGTAATTGTTTTAACTTTTACTACCATTTATAACTGAAAGCTCTCTAGCTTTGCAAGTTTTGCGTCTAGTTCCTTTGCAGTATTTTTATTACCAGCTTGGGAATTATTCAATTAAGAAACAATGAATATTGGAACTAAATCACTAGCAATGAGCTACAAGTATCGCTGTGCGTATTACAGAATAGACGTATTCTTTATCAAATTTATTGTTTTGTAACTTGTGAGTTTTACACTTGCCAATGTGTTAGTAAAATGCTCCGAAATGTTGGTTTAATCCGGAAAACATGTATTAATATTGACAATCATTTGAAATGAAATTTTTTAACAATCAAAAATAAGTGTCTTCAATCGATTTTTCTTCCTTCTTCTTTTTGCCCAGTTGTTCACAGGTCAGTGTTTCCAAGGGTACCAACGCACTTAACTACAAAATTTCATGACGTTTGGTTTTTGCATTCGCTAAATATTCGTACTAAAGTGTTATTGGCTGCGGAAGTAAACCTGAAGAATTTAGACATGGTTTACAATGTTACTGGAAAATAACATGCAAAATGCATGGGTCAACGCTTTAGAAAATGATTACAATGTGTGGTGCACTTATATTTCATCTGAACACAGTTCTGAGTAATAAAGCGAAACATGCATCAGAACCCTTGAAATTACCTGTATAACGCTTGAGCAGTTCTTCTTTCAGTTTCCCAGGGAATAACAACCGAATTTGGTTTTCAGATGATAGTGGGGGAGGGGTGGGAGAAAGCGTCTTAAATTCTCTCTCTCTTTCCATTGCTGATCATGGTTGGAAGTCCTTGCAAGTTAACTTAGGTTTAAGCAGAAACTAAATGGATCAATAGTTTGTTACAATAACCACACAACACTCAGCCCGTGGATGTTGCATGGTTGTACATTTGTTACAATAACCACACGACTCGGCCCGTGGATGTTGCATGGTTGTACATTTGTTACAATAACCACACAACTCGGCCCGTGGAGGTTGCATAGTTGTACAATTGTTACAATCATCACACGACTCGGCCCGTGGATGTTGCATGATTGTACATTTGTTACAATAACCACACGACTCGGCCCGTGGAGGTTGCATAGTTGTACAGTTGTCACAATCATCACACGACTCGGCCCGTGGATGTTGCATGGTTGTACATTTGTTACAATAACCACACGACTCGGCCCGTGGAGGTTGCATAGTTGTACAATTGTTACAATCATCACACGACTCGGCCCGTGGATGTTGCATGGTTGTACATTTGTTACAATAACCACACAACTCGGCCCGTGGATGTTGCATGGTTGTACAATTTTTCCACATCTAAAACAACACTTTTCATGAAGAAATCTGAGGTATCTTGTAGTATTGAATCGATGTGAACTAATTCTGTAGAAAGCAAAACTAATGTTTCGATGTTAAAAATTGAATAGATTTACAACAAGAGGTGCAATACACACACACACACACACACACACACACACACACACACACATAGTCTTCATTAAAAGGCGGTGATCCAATGTGAGGATATATGACTGAGTGAGAGAGGCATGGATGATTGTTGGACTCGGTATCAGTAAAAACATTTATATAGGTTGTATTAATATTACTGACGTTTCATGTTGCTCT